ATTTTTCTGCCAACAGACTCTGTGGACCTTATGCCCCACCATGGAGTTGCTTCAAAGTCCAGGCTGAATCTTGACCAGCATAGCAGAGAAATGCCAGGCGTGCAGCCCAGATTTGCTCCTTTCCTTCCTGGGACTAATTTCTTCCTTCCATAGGTCTTACAGTAGGAAAAGCAGTGTTTTCTAAAGAGGTTTTTGCAAAGATCTGGCAAGTGCACGTGTCTCTATCTTGTCTCTCAGAAGTCTCACTACAAGGATTTTTCCATTGGCATTGGTTTTTAAATTCAATGCGAAAAAAGCACAATCTTTACAATCTGTCTGAAAAAATGTACTTAAGAATAAAAACTTTTACCAGTTGTTAGATCCAGAACAAAAGTCACTATTGATATTCTTGATTTATAATGCATTAAAAAAATGAACAAATTCAAGCAATAGAAAAGTTGCAGAGAATTTAAACATAAGTTGCTGTGTTGGCCTCCAGTGAAATGATGGGTGAAGAGTCTAAGAGCGTATGAGAGCCACAGCGCAAATGAACATGGTGTTAATAACTGTACAGTCACCTAGGTCATGTTTAATTAAGAACACAGTGCCACCCAGGTCACATGTAATTAAGAAGTCTTAATTCAAACAGTGTTATTATATCTGTGATAAAAAGCAAGTTAAAAATCTCTGAACAGTTAACACCATGCTGCTCCCAGGAGTTTCAGCGTTAGCTCAAGTTAATTATGTTAAAATTATTTCCTTTGGTGTACTGATGTGAAGATCACTGTCTGACAACGAACGAGAAAATTAAAAACTTTTTGCAACTTCCATCAAGGCTCACCTATCACTGCACTCACATGGAACTGGCCTGCCCTTGTGTCAGTGTGGAAGGAGCAGATGGTTGAAATATCACTCAGTTACGGTGCTTCTATTCTTTAGAGCATTCTCCGGGAAGGCCTTAGGCCTCTTGTACTCCAGGCACCTTTTTCTGGCAAGGGAAGAAAAAACAAATCACTGCAGCCATCCCCTGGTTTGTTACACTTATGTCCTCAGTGACCTCAAGTCCTCAAACATTGTGCAACATCAGCAAGAGGGGGCAGTTTGTTTTCTTCAGTGTCTCAGTGGAAACCACAGCAGAGTAGGTCTGCAGGAAGCAGCCATACCAGGGCATTAAACCACAGCAGAGCATAATCTCCTGCCTGGGGAAGTTTTCAGACACAGGAGTAAGTGTATAAATGGGAAGTAACTTCTGGCTACAGCATGGTTACAGACAGATAATGCATTAGTGATGCAATTAAGGAAAACCCTTGCATTTCTAGGCCAGTATTTCTTTTGTTAGCTTGTAAGCGAGCCTTTCAGATCTGGAGAGGTCAGAGGAGGTGAAGAATGGGTAAAATTACTCTGAGTTAAATCTCTGTTACAGGCAAGTTTTCAAAGTTTGTAGCTAAGAAGTATTCAAATGATCAGGCAGCTGGGACTCTTTCCACGTGCCAGCAGTACACGGGTGCTGCAGCTCCAAAACCAAGCCAGTACCATTGTGCCACTGTTAACAACATCATGCCCGTGTTAAAGACATGCCCCTTTTCTATAGTAATCCAAAAGCAACCGTGCGGTACATAAGGGTACCTCATCTGAGGTTGACAAATGCTCTGCTCTTTTATGTCATGAGAGTTTCTACAGACCGTCAATACAAAAGCATTTGCAGCTTTACCCCGGAGATTTACAGTTTTCAATCCAGCTGCTGGAGGCAATTCTATCAGCATTAGTGGCAGTTCTGTAGGGCGGCTGTACTTAGTCTCTGCACAACAATTCCCACAGGCAGCACAGTACTACACACACTTTTTTTGTCTCTCTCTGCTTGAAAGCCACGAGGGGGTGCCATTACATTCATCCTAACCAGGTGATTAGACATACATCAGGTATTTAAAAGAACATAAAAGCCCAATTACTCGTTCATTCCTAGCCAAAGGAGGGCATTGTCCCCAGTGTAAAGTAGAGTCAAACGCACCAGCACTACAGCACAACAGTGCCTGTGCCACGCCAGCAGAGGTATCTACCATGATCTATGAGACCAGAACTGGTGTGAGAGTAGCAGGGGCACACATCCCAGTCAGCTCCATCCTTGGGCTTGACAGCTCCCACTTCAGATTCCCAGCTTTTCTTAAAGTAAAGAGTTCTGTTTGTACTGGGATAGGAACTGTTTGTAAGGAGTTCTTTTGGTAACTTCAAGTTGCACCAGCTGCATAATGACAATCATGTATTAGTTTACAGCAGAACAGGGGAAGGTCAAATTTACTACCTGCCTTTTAGGGTATATTTGGCTTTAGAAGAGGTCAGAATAGATGCAGGCTGAAGGAAAGCTTCCTCCATCTCCCTGCTCTTCCCTGAACTGCCTCACAGCTGTCATTTGTTGTCAAACTGAGCTTGCTCAGAACTGCTTCAGAGATGCATCTCTGCAAAAAAGAGAAGGGTTGATCACCCTTAAGAAGAGCTGTACAACCATCAGCTATTAGAGTAACAGAAGCCCTCTGAAGAGCCACCAAGATGCATCAGAGGCTTGGAGAGTTACACAGTATTTTTGGTTAAACCTATTCCAGCTCACATGAAAGTCCGAGCAAGCAACCCCCTGCTGCAAGTTAGGGAAGTCATAGCCTTAAAGCACCTTCCAAATTGCTTTCGCTCAGATAAGCAAAAAGGTGAAGGAGAGTGGCCTAAGGATAGAGAGCAAGACCAAGAACTGCACCTTTGGAGGGGAAAGCCATGGCTTGTGGATTGATCATGAGGTTTCTCTCTTATCAGCAGGGGTACCACTGCAAATCAGAGTAACAGACGCCACTGTGTTCTGTCCTCAAAGAAGGAGTTCACAAATACAGGCACCTCCCAGGTGAAAGCATCTTTCTGCAGTTGCCACAGCCAACCCTGCTTCCCCAGGCACCCAGTTCTCCCCTATATTTCCAAAAATACCTGATGGCGAGGTGATCCCAAGGTCCCTGAAGTCAGCATTTCTGCAAGGGACTTTCCTTGATGAAACTAAGAGCCCACTGAGGAGGGGCACTTTTACCACGCAGAAGCTCCACTCTGCCTATCGCTACATTTGCACTGTGAGTTGCTTCTTCCTGTGAGCAGAGCACACCCTGCAGGAGCAGCGCTTCTGGAACAGCTCAGAGGAGATGCCGCACCCTGCAAAGCTCATGGGCTGGGTATGACAGGCCCCACTGCCTGCAGAGCTGTTGGGGGAGGTAACCCTGTGCAGACCCATCTTATCTGCTCTGATTTCCTGAATGTGATTGCTGCGCATCAGCTGCCAGGTGCTCCTGGGTAGGGAAAAAAAAGAAAAGAAAACAAGAGGTTAGGGAAAAACTGTACACAGTGTTTCACAGGAGGGGAGAAGACCCAGTGACACAAAAGCACACACCCCACTCCATGGTTTTGAGCTTTTTTCCCCACCAACTGATGCTCAGGCATCTGGGTTCAAGACTTTGAACATAAAATAGAAATCTGTTTTGGGCTCACTTTGCTATGCTGTAAATGTTCTGTATCAGTTCTGGGAATGAAAGTAACAGTGTCAGCTGAACGAGCAGCAAGGTGATAACACACTGCTTCTGAAGGGAAGATGTTGAATACTCACTAGAAAGCACAATGAAGTGTTGTTGTTTTTTTTTTTTTAACAGAAATTCCTTGACTTTATGACATGAGGCTCTGAAACATGTTTCTGTGAGGCTGGACAGCACAGTATAGCCATTGCTTCTCAGGATGCTGCTTCTCATCCATTTTTGACTCAAAGATCCCAATATTCCCTTCCACCTCAGGCTGCTCTATATTTGCTGGGCAACAGCTTTTTACAGCAGAAACAAGGTGGAAGTGCACAGTACCACACACACCCTTCAAGTGCACACAACCCCTAGAGACTGGCCACAGGTAGGGAATCAGTAACAGCCACGATTGAGCAATAGGACCTCTCACTGTGTTTTCTTTGAAGGTGTGCACAACTCTTGCCAGATAGCCCAAGTGTTTAATTTCCTGTGATCAAAGAGCAGAGTCCTAACAGTAGTTTTATAGCTTTACCTCCCAGTGAGAATATGTTGCCTTGTCATCCATCCTTGCGAGGAGTGTATTAGTGCTTGTCAAAGTCCTAAATTCTTCTGTTCTGATAACAGGAGTCTTTCTCACCTGTTGCTTTAGAGATCAAGACGTTTTGCTAAATTTCCACAACCAGCACTGGTGTTCAGCACTCACAGTGCAATCTGGGTGACAGGGTGTAATTCTGTAGTTTTCAGCAGTATGAGTCCGTAGGTATCAACAACATCGCAGCCTACTTCTATGATCCCATCCCATACAGGGCTGCATTTGAGTCTGTACAGTTTGAAATGGCCACAACACACGTGTGAACGTCCGTTTTATAACTGAGAAGCTATTTGCAAGAGAAAGGACAGTTGTACCTTAGCTTTACACACTTTTTAGTGCAACTCGACAAAGAGACTCCACTCAGTGAGGCTTATTGTTATGTAGGGCAACTGACGTTGAAATGAAAACAAATAACCAAACAACTAACTCCTCCTGACAGAACTGCACAAAAAAAAAAAACACAATTTGTGCTGTCTGAATGCTTTACTGCTATGTCACTATCCCTGCAAGCAATTCTCTCAGCATTAGCATAGCACAACCTTAAATGCCCATCCAGCAACATGGCCTTTGTACCAGAGGTGCAGAACACACTGCAAGTGCTTTGGTAGAACATACACAGTGCCTCAGGCAGGGGATGCGAATTCAATTCCTCTGTTCCAGGAGCTGGACCAGCAATCCTCATGGCCCTTCCAATTCAGGGTATTCCAAATCCTGTACTGAGCAGCTCAGCCATCACTGTGAGCCTGTGGTTACAATCTTGAATGGTCTGGAGTCTTGAAGGCAAAATGGGAAATTAATTGCTGCTGTCTCTCTTGAGAATGCAACTTCCAAGGAAGAAGAATATATTTTCATTAAGCAATGTTCATGCATTGGTCATAATAAAATGAAGATAAACATAAAACAGAAGAGGATTTACATCCCATTTTTATTTTTACAATGCCTGCCCCAATGAAAGATTGAACTATAACAGATAATATATGTTCAAAACATTTACAGTATTTACAGATAACTTTTTTTTTTTTCCTCAATAAGTAATTACAGCAACTTTTAACAAAAGTGCAAGTGAAAAGAATCACTGGTGCAAAAGTTACCCTGTCCCGTTGATCACATTGTAGTGCTTGAACAAGCTGAAGTGACAACTGGGATAAATGCATTTCATAGTGAGCAAACGTCATTGTCACTTGACAGTGACAGGCCCTGCCAAGCTGTATTTACAAAGCCTAAGCCAGCAGAATGCCATTATTCTTTCTAGAAAGAGCGATTAGTGAGTTCAGAAGTGATCCCTTCTTCATTTTAACTTTGAACAGCAGAATTGCAGTGTCATAACTTCTACTGTGCAAACAGATGACAACAGATTTCAAATGCTCTGTTGCATTAAGTGCTAAAAGAAGCTTAACTTCCTTATTATACATGCTATAAAACTACACCAGAAAGTTCAAGTTTCAGAAGCAACAATTACCTTTCCATGTGTATTCTGTATATATATTTTTTAATTTTTAAACACAGGATGAAGATACGCTGGCTCCAGGAAAGCTGTGTTTTTCCATAAGCAAACCCAAAAGCCCTGTACACAACCAAAGCCTCATTGACATGTTCATTTTTGAGGTATGCTACTGGGGTCATTTTCCCTGATGCACACACCCCTATTTCCCTTTCCTTCTCTCTCAAACTCCTTTCTCTAAGCCATATATTCTCCGGCCATGCCATCTTCCAACCTCTAGCTATGCCACATAGTCCTGCAGCCTTCAAACTGTAGGGAGTATCACAAAGAATTTAATTCTTCCAGCTACCTGACATCAACAGGGATTACTTTAGGGCCAGATTTCCATCTCAGAGCCACACACTGCAATGCTTCTCCAGTCTCACAGCGCACAAGGTGTCGTGGCCCAAGTGCAAAACAAAGCAAAAAGAGCTGCACTGTATCCAAAAGAACCAGTCTCAATGTTATGGATATAACCCATCATCCACCCTAGAGTCTTTGCCATGGTTTTGTTCTCAGGTAGCACCCTTCTAAAACTTTTATATGCATGTGTGTGTATATACATACATACACCTACTAATGCTATATATATACACATACATCTATACACGTACATATACACACACACGTGCGTCAGTATGTTCACTGCAGGAGAAACTTATTCACTATTGGTTGGAAAAACTATACTGAATTTAGTTAGAATTGGCATTTGTGCTTTCTATCTGTAAATGAACCATTTTTATCATCTCAAAAAGTTTTTCTTTTAATTTAATTTTTAATTTAATTTGCATTAAGAAGTTCAAAAGCAGCCAGGACTGAGAAATGCAGAGCATCAGCTTTTCTCCTGTGTCCCATTAATCCTACACTGCAATTGCTTCCTTCAGAAATTCATCTGAATCCCTATGTTGTTGCCCAGGCTTGCTTGAAGATCCTCTTAGTAAAACAGTACCACGCAACAGCAGAGCCACGCATCGTCTTGCATCACGCACATTCATGAGATAAAAGTTTCTGCCTTCACTCAGTAAGACACGAATAAAACATGACCTCAAGGTGCTTTTAAAAGGGAGAAAAAAATTCCCTTCTACACAGTAGTAAATAGGCACAAGGAATAAGGCTTGAAATAATGTCTTCAGACACTGATCATCCTGGGGAAACCAAGTTCTTAAACTCCGAATTCTTTCCAATCTGGTTACAGGGTTGGAGAATCCCACCTTCAGGTAATTACTGCTCCCAGACGTATGTGCTTCTTTACAGTGCATAACATTAATTTTAAAAAACTGCCGCTCCACAGCCCAATCAGCTCAGTATGCTCCAGTACAGATATCTCCCTCTTGAAAGGATGAAGTAGTTTCATAAGAAAGCTGATTAGTTAAAAACACAGCAAAGTTTCACCTTCACAGTGACTCAGTAAATATAGGAGGTTTGACAGCAGTTCACCAGCACTGCTTTGACCAAGCAAACGTGGATTTTCTGGCCAACTCTGTCTTGAACGCCCAGCTGGTTAAACGAGCAACTGCCTGCCTCTTCTGTATTTTTACTACAGTAACCACTTTACACCAAAAAAGTATTGCTATGACATACAGTAATGGAGAACTCATTAAAAGCCACCAGTGAATTGAGAAATTTCACTAAAGTTCGCTGGACGTATAACTCATGGGGAGTTCAGTCTTACTGTTCTAATCCAGGACATCTTAAAAAGGACTTTTTAAAACACAAACGTTGTCAGGCTGAGTGCTGAAGAAGGCCTGCTACCATTCACTGCGGGGAATAAAATACATAGCACAGTACTGTTACTCTGTAAGCATTTTAATTATTTTAGGAATAACTCTTCTCCTGTATCCTACTGGAAAGTCACAGCATTCGCATTCCTTTAAGGAAAGAAACATTCACCTCGTCCAGATCATGATGTAGCCTTCCTTCAGCCATTACCTTTGTGCACACTTACAGTGCTTTTCCACAGACAACGTCTGCATGTCTTTTTCTCACCATTCCTCTGTTTTGGCAAACTATCCTCGCAGGGATGGCTGCAGGATCCCTTTTTCGACAAGATGAGATTTCAGGGTTCTGTACACATTGAGTTGCTGCTCGGGCTGAAGGACCAACAGCTGCTTCAGTACTTTGCTGGGATTTGGGCCCCTGTCAATGAAATAAGTTTTTTTGATGAACAGCGGTTCTAAAGAAGCTCAGATAGCTTTCCATTCTCACCCTGCTCTGCTGCAGAAACAGTGCCTCCCTTTTGTCTGGCAGCACCAAAGTATGGATTTCACCCAGTCTAACCTTTGCCACAGGGTGCATGGGCAAGCATCACTGGGCTGGCACTCTCATTTGCTGAATGTAAACAGGAATTAAAAATGGTGCCTGTATTTACTGTCAAATGGGAATATTAAGAAAGGTTATAACAAAAAAGATTCACAGATTTGTTCATAATTACCATAATCACAGTCTTCATCAAAAGATCTTTTTCATTTTAATACCTGTTGCTGGATAAGCTGTGTAAATACCAACTAAATGGAAAGTTGTCAGAGTAAAAAAATAATAATAATAATAATTTCTTAAATTAAACTGTGCATCCCTAAATAACAGGAATCCAGTCAGTCACTTACTGTGTACTTCTACAATTAACTCAATATGAAGCAAAAAATCTGTAACTTCTTCATTTTCTCATTATTATTTACTCAAATGCATTTACAAAACGAAGGACGTGTATCAGTTTGGCCATCTCATGTTCCTTACCTCGATTTCCCCCACCCCAGAACTAAAATGACTGCCTGCAATAGCATTTCCATTCCTATGATTTCACCTTTGTGAAAGTTGGTGTGGGATGACAAGCAGCATTTTTAAGAAGTCCTCTACTCTCTTTAATGGTAGCGTTTTACTCTCCAACAGAAAGCCTCAAGTCCTGCCACCGAGAATACTTAAGCTCTTGGGAAGAACCACAGTCACAACATGCAGGCTCTTTGTGAAGCCTTCTATGAGGCTGCAGCAAAAAGCCTCATATTTGAAGTTACGTGGGTTACTGCTGATACCCTGGGCATAGCTTTAATGTTGCACAAATCTTATGTGATCTTTGCGCTCTTCATGACTCTGTATTTGAAGTCATTGCATACAACAAACATAGAAACAACCTTCACTGCGCTAATTATGCAGAGCACAGCTCAGACCAAAACACTGTGGTACATGTGGCACAGCTCCTACTCGTATTGGAGTACCTTGAATTTCAAAAAACCCATACCTTATGAAACTGGTGATGTAGACATGAACAAAAGTAGCCATCAAGTACTGACAATCAAAGCGATCCATTATACCACCGTGCCCAGGGATTGTGTCTGCAAAATCCTTTAGGATGTGAAGGACAGAAGGAAAAAGCATCACTGTAAGCGATTCAGATGAAACACACCAACCAAGGCTCACCTGACAGCAACATTTCATGCTATTAAGCCATGGTTTCAATGCACTGAGACAAAACTTAGCAAGCGCCTTTTTGCTACAGAACTTTCTAGCCAAAACAATGAGGCAAGAGGTAAGAAAAAGAGAAAAAGAAAGAGATGTAGCAACTTCCCCAGAGTCACATACTAGAAGGCAGGTCAAGTGCACATCCACCACCACCAAGTACATCTCTGTATATGTATGTACTTCACTGCTTTTTGTAGAAAGCTTCTTGAACCAATGGCTGCAGTTTCTTGCCCTGAAGGATCTCATTCTCCTCTTCAACACTTTCCTTGCCTTATCATCTACTGCTAGCTGACACTGATGCACTTACACCAAGGGAAGAGAGAGAACTGAAATCCCTTTCTGCTGACTCCCTGTGACTTAACAAGTCATATGCTCATTCACCTACCAGTTTTATCACTGGCTTCTCAGAAGAGTAACTAAAAGCCATAGCATGTACATGCAACATTAGTACATTCAGCAGCATCACAAAGCCCTGTCATCAAACAATCCTTTAAAAAAAAAAAAAAAAGGAATGGAAAAGAAAAAAAAGACTCAGTAGCAAGTAGCCAGCCATCAGATAAGTGGTTGGACCAGTGTGAGGAAAGGGAATAAGCACAAGCACATGGGTGGGAGTTCAGACCAGAGAGGTTTACTTGCATGCTTTGGTGCAAAGCATGTGCCACAACCAGCAGGCTGAAGGAACAGGTTAAGAATTACAGGAGTCCTGCCAAGACATAAGGGAGGTCAGAAGAAAATGTGTGGCTACTCTCCTCCCATAGTCCAGTGTCACTGAATTCCAGCCACACTTGTGATAAAGAGGCCAACACATCGCATCCTGTGTCAGCACACGCTCTTGCTACAATGCAGTGCTGCATTGCCATAGGCAGTCAGTCACTTGTGCCTTGCTGAACAGAAGTGTCAGCATCTGCATGCAGCACAGGCTGGGTCTGTAAAGTACAGCTTTAATGCTGTAAAGATTGGGGCAAACCACCATGAGCAGTGGTCAGGTATCTACAGATTGATAGGTATCTACTGAGTGGTGTGGAATATAATTATCTTGCATCTTGCTCACCTTAGAAGCATAGCTGGGAATAGTATCAACCAAATGCAAAAAAATAATAGTAATAATTTAGGAATAACACACATATGTATCCAATAAAACAAAGAGCTGGTACTGCTACTGAAGCACAGCTCATACATCGTCTGAGAAAGATTAGGTAATGAAAAAAAGCTTCAAAGCAACCAATCTCATACAGAGAGACAATCAGAACAAAGACAGCATATGGGAATGATGACACACCTTGATTTTGAAAGCTCGTTTAAATCCACTGGCAAAGAATCCTCCAAATGGCCCAATTAGTGAGGCAAATGTTGACAGTGCAATGCTGTGCATCTGGAATGGGTACATATTCACCGTTTCCTACAAGAAAAATAATTAACAGGATATTTCAGTACCTTTGATTCTAGGCATGTTTCAGCTTAAATTTTTTTAAAATTGGGCACATTCCCACAAAGCTTCAGTTTTCCCAATAGAGAATAATACTTTTCAGCCAAACACTTAATCAGAAGAAATAAAGTTTCCTTTGACCTGCTTTTCCAGCTCTGTATCCTTAGAGAATGGAGCTTTCCACAGAGCCAATAGGATTTCTGCAGATTAGGTGACTCAGTGTCCCCAGAAAATGGCTGCTGTCACGCAGCTCACTGTCACAGTTGCTGCTCTGAAGTGCTCCCATGAGACAGACAGGAATGTCTACACAAGTCTGCCATGCCGTCCCCTATACATACACAGTGCAGCACTGGGATATGAAAGGTTTACTCCATTAATATTTGATTTTACATTTGACCATATAACATCCCCCTCATCTTGTTCAAAGACTTAACATTTCTTCTGGCCCATTACATTTCCTAGGGATAAGAGAGACTTGATTGTCAGGAAGGAGAACACCTATTGCCAAATAATACATTAATGATGATAAGTTTTATTTTGCATCTTTCAGCTCATCCAAGTCAATGGCACAAGCTCCAGCCTAGCAATGCTGCTGCATGCAGAGCACACCTTCCCTGGCAATTCTCAACACACTCCACCTGCAGTTGAAACTCTGGTACCTTACATTTCTGATCCGCATCATGGCCAACACCAGCTGTTCCCTAAACCGATGGTCATTTTCTACAAACACTGCTCTAAGTAATTATCTCCTCAATGGACACAGATTTTTTCAATACTACTCCTGAGGTGTGTGTGCAGCCACCACCTCTTTTTGGGGTGGACACATCTCAACTGGACCATGACAGAGCTGGCTGTTCCCATCACCCTGTCCTTTAACAAAAGTCATAACGCAGCAGGACAACACAAGACTTAGCCCAGCTTACACACTAATTAACTACATAAAAATATTTTTTTAATTTGCTGTCAACTTCACAGCCTCTGAAGCAATGGTGTGTTCATTCAGGAAAATACTGGATCTGCTTCTAGATGCAGTCTTCTTTTTGTTTTGTTTTGAACTACCAGCTGCAGCTATTATTTATAATCCTCAGTTTTTGCAAACATCAGCAACAATTTCCACTTACGCCTTCTTGTTACAATTGTGAGCTTATCTCGTTAAATGCTATGCTCACGTAAAAGCACTTAAAACACACCATCTTTCTTAGCACTGTCTGCTTGTTCTCAATGTTAAGGCAATGAATAGAGCAGAAGGTGATGCAGAACCCACTTGTGTCATACATTTGTCACAGGCACCTCCTTTGTGTCTCACATGGAAGATTAGGGCATATGTGCGTGTCCATGTGGGGTGTGCGTGTATACGTGCCTAAGTGCACACATGTGTATGTGTGAGTGCATATACACATAACTCTGTGTGTATATGTGCCTGTGTATATATGCATGCACAGTTGTCTATACATGTATATTTGCATGTGTATATGCACAGGGATCACAGAATCACAGAATTGTAGGGGTTGGAAGGGACCTCCAGAGATCATCGAGTCCAACCCCAATATACGCATATATATGCACAGGGGCACATACATGTGTATGCATGGATGTGCAGGTCTCTGTATATGAATGCATATGTTTACATGCATGTTAACATCTGCGTGCACATATGTGTGCCTGTCTGTATGTGTATGCATCTGTGTGCATCTACCTACCTACATAAGTGTGCCTGAGTGCACTCGTGTGTAAATGTATACATACAGGCACATATGTGCATGCGAATATATGTGCATAAGCATGCATGTCTGCACTTGAGTAGGCATGCATATCAATGTTTGTACCACATGTGCACATATACATGCACATACACATGTCTGTGGGCATGTACACACAGTCTGCATACAGATAAGTGTCTGTATGTTTGTGTATGTATGCAGAAGTGAACATACGTACACATTAGAGTGTACACAAATGTGTGCATGCACACATGCACAGTGTATGTATGCATATATATACATCCCTGTGTAAGAACTGGCTGTGCAATGTATATCTGCACATCTACATGTGTGCACACTTGTGTATATGTAGCTGTGCAAGCGTACATGTGTCTGTGTGTAAGCATGGGTATATATACACACATCTGTATGTGCATGGGACATATGGGTGCATGCATACATACATGTGGAGTGGGATGTATACGTGTCTGCATATACATGTGTCTAAAAGTGTGTCTGCATGCACATATGCATACATATGTATGCTCGTGTATGTGTGGGGGTGTATATGCATGCAGGTACATGAATGTGCATGGGTGTACATACCCACACGCACTTATACATGTGGATGCATATATCCATGCACGGTAAGTATACATGTGAGTTCTGTGTGCAGCTCTGGGTATGTGTACATACACAAGAGTGTAGATGCATGGGGGTTAGGTCTCTCTCTGCATATATTTTGCACATGTGTGCATGTTTACAAATGTATATAAATAAGGGCACACACGTGCATGGGTGTACGTATACATACAAGCACGGTGTGGATCTGCATATGTAGGTGATGGGGGTGGGTAGAGATGTTTGGGGGATGTGGATGTACTCATGTGCACAATCGTATGCATGTGGATATGCATCTGGCTGTGTGTGGGTGGATGACTCTGTGTATCTGTATACACGTGTGCATGCACACCTCTGTCCATGCAGGGTTGGCTATGGGGCGTGTGTGCATGTAGTTATTCAGGTATTTACACAGAATTCATATACATATATATATATGAAATGTATACAGACTCTAGTTTTACTTAGTCTCTTCCTGTGATGAAGGCAGCAAAACTGATATGGCAGGAGGAGCAACGACCTACTTCCTGCCAGCTAAAGACACAGCACTCCTCCTGACAGGAGGCACAGGCTGCATATGAGGACATGCTGCAATCCATTGGGTGAAATTGTAACTTAGTCCGTTTTTCTCCGTGTACAATAGAAGGAATGACCTTAATTACACAAAATCTACTTCACAGAGACAGTGCAAGTTCTAGTCTAGATGCAGCTGCACACTAACTCAAAAATGGACTGCTTTTCTACTAACAAAAGTATTCACCCTTACTGCTAACTCTGGCTGTAACAAGCCTCGGCCTATTTTCCACAGACTGTAACAGCTTAAGACTGTAACAGCTTTTCAGCAGAGTGGTTGAATATGACATGCAGCACAGTGAGCAGTACCATCCACTTCCTGCACAAATACAGGCAACAAGGACACAGACATTTCCTTCAGCAACACTTCTGCTTGAGTGACCACCTCCTCATGTGAGTAAGAGAAGCTGAGAGTAACAATTCAGTTTCTAACCCTGAAGACCTACCTGTGCTGGAACATCCTTCTAAAAGGTTTAGGAAAACTTTAAAGCTCGGCTTTGTAATTTCTATCTTAATTAAAGCCTTATTTTTTCCTTACCCATCCCAACACAGCCTGAAGCAATAGTGGCACAGAGTATTTCTTCAGCTGGAAAAGCTCTGAAGGTTCACACTCTGTCACAAATCTGTTGGTTTCACTGTTATATTCCACTGGGCAGACAAAGTATTGATGTTGAGCCAAGAAATAGGAAAACTGGAAAGCAGAACAAGAACTCTTGAAATATGCATTAGTTGTTACAGTCAAAAACCTACTCTAATAAATGACTTTGTTATCGCAAGCTCAGGATATGAAAATTTTTGGTAATAAAGAGACCACAACGGAGCCCTCGTTTTAGGGTGGAGAATGCCTCTCCAAGGCAGGCAGATGTGGAATTTCAATACCCTTCATGATAATTCCCCAGTTTGTTTTTATTTTTCTGTCTCTCAGAAGTATCTGAAGTGTATTTCTGCATCATAATATCCCCATACAGCTACAACTCATTATTTCTTTTCAGTTTACTTTTCTATTAAAACTTGAACTACTACTTCTACAAGGTCTGGTACCTTCAAATTCTGATCTTGGTGACAAATTACATGTAAAATCAGTTATGTTGCTCTTTTATCCTAGACATACCATCAGAATAAAGTACCCATCTAAACCCAGAGGCATTTCAGTCAGGAAAAATAACAACATGAAGCATACAATACAAAGCTACTCCTTCACAAAGCAAAAGCAATGCTTTCAATAAACTCAAATTTTAAAATAGAGATGTAACTATTAGATAAAAGAACTCCGGATATAGTCTGTAACAGTAATGGCAAAACAGTCAGTTAAGTAATTCAGGTGAAGTACAAACCTTGTGCTTAACTCTTAAAACCAGTTATGATTAAGCAGAATTCTGTATCTAAAAAGATAATCAACCACAAATCCCCAACTCTTAGACTTTCTGCAGATTGAGATGACCTAATTTGTCAGTAATTTTATTTCCCCTGAAAACAGAACATTAAAGGCGGAATCTATAAAAGGAAAGTCCTGTGGTTACTTACAACAAATCCAAATAGAACTGTGGAGAAGCCGCCTCCAATGAACCCTTCCCAGGTCTTTTTGGGAGACAGCTAGGTGCAAGACAGAGTTAGCTGCAACAATTGCATCACTAAACCTTCTTTCATCCCCACCTCCATTTTTGTACCTCACTTGCAAACATCAACACCTGCTTGTGAGCACATGTACACATGGAATACTGCATGTCACCAGCTAAGTTAGTCACTAAACACTGTGAAGGAAGCATGCAGTTTAACCTGCATGGGAAATTGAAAGAAAAAAAAAAAAGGATGAAATAGGCTAACAATGAAATAGGCTGCAACTGTATTATACTATGGTGTTAATACTACATTCACCATAATTTCAGATGCCACTTACAAATCTCTAGAAATCAGATAAACGATGTGGCTTTTAGCAAATAGGTAACCTGCAGAACAGGTGAAAGTGTTTATTCTATAAATATTATTTTTTAGCAAGTATCAAAAATGTTGTAAACTGTGAAAACTCAAAGAATACTTACATACATACCTTAATTAATGGAGTTCTGCCAAAAAAGAATCCAAAAATGTAAGCAGCAATATCATTGCAGATAACACTCGAAATTGGCACCAGAAACCTAGAGAAAGATGCACCAAAAGATTCACATAGGGAAAGGGGAAAACTGCCTGAGCTTCAGTACAAATTATTTATAATTCACACAGCAGCATTTTTGTTGGGAAATGTTCTGAAATACTTAGAAACTGTTATGCTTCACCTTGCTCCTCCCTAAGTAACACAGTTAGCCATACTGATGTTAATGTTCAGCTAATCAACACTGTTAGAGATCCATGCTAATTCAAGTTAAAATTTAATTTTAGCACACGAGCTTAAAATGATAACAGGCTGGGTTTTTCTATCAGACCTGCTGACTGATACCACCGTTAAGAAGAAATCAACAGAAAGAAACACGTTAATATTATTGTTAACATCAAAGCAAGCAAAGTCCTTATAAGTTCAATGATACTTAAATTTTAAAAAAGAAAGCCAGCTTTTTTTTCCTTCCACTCATCAGTTTGCAGCAGCCTGTGTTAGCTTTTTAAAGTGTTCTCTGCATGCAGATAGCATCTGAATTTGCTACTCAATCCTGTTAACTTGCATTTCCCCCCATTTCAAGGCAGAGATGTATTAATAAACTAGAAGTTGGATGTTATAATTATGTGCCAAATCGGTAGGTAGCTAACAAGGACACTTGGTTCAGCTTTTCACATGAACTAAATCACTATGAAAAGAATTCAGTTAAACAAACTCTGTCAAAGGCTTTGTTTCTTCTTTCTAGCTGTGAATGCGTCCTCTCTGCAATAATCTCCCATTGTCCTTCCATCAGGAAAGGAAAAGGAGAACATGCAGTATTAAGTTATTGGAAGAACACACTGCTTTCCATGCACTGCTGCTTTCTTTCTCAACTTGTAATTTACCACCTGCAGAGGTGTGGGGTGGGAAAGCATTACTTCTTTTGGCGGGAGAAGTTTTAAAGTCATCAAGTTTAACTGCATCATCAGAATTGAATATGTAGCTGGAAACAAGACTTGGGATGACTGGACAACATTCAAGATTTAAACTCATAGAGAATTTCAAACAAACTGATTTGAACTTTAGCATACAAACTAAAGGCAGGAAGGGAGAAGCGTTTTTCTTCTAATAGACACCTTGCTCTTGGAGACTGCCATCAGTCAGTAAGAAAAGGGAGTCTTTGCTGTTGTATCTCCTGAACCTCCATACAGACAAGACGTGTGGTTTCAGACTACTGATCCATGCTACATCACTTGCCAGAACTATTTTGTTTTGCCTGCTAAAAATAGGTGAGAACATTTTTAGTTACCTTGTAAAAATTCCCACAATGTTGTTTCTAATCTCTGAGGATTTTATGGCCTTGAAACCTTTTGGAAAGGTCTCGAGTGGGACTCCTAAAGCCAGATTTGGTCTTCCAAATTAAGTGGTCCAACCTCAGTAGCATTGAGGTACCTAAAGCTCCTGAACAGCTGTGTTCCTGCACTCAGCAAAATGCCATATTCACAACATTTGCAATTAATCCCGAACCTGGCAGACAAATGAAGTGGTTACTTGAAACCACCATCCTTGTGGCTGCCATCTGGCTGGAGAGGTCTCTGCCCACTGTCCTGTACCTTCACCTCATTGCTCCCACTTGCTCCAACTCCCCATCCAACTAAGCACAGGTGCTCTTATCTTGTGCTACTTCCACTGTTCCGCAGTTATTCCCTAGCCACACGCACTACACAGCAGAGTCAGCCTTTCAATGCAATAGTTACAAATTAGTTTATTGCTGTCCCCTTACCAGATCATGCCTTCAAAGAGATTTTGGATGACTAGATGAGATTGAGTTACAGTGATCAGCAAAGTGACATGAGTCCATGCGAACTGTTAACAATGCAACAACACAACAGTTAGTGAGAACACGGATCAGTACATCTCCATCAATACTGGCATGTCAGCTAGAAGAGCCCTTAGGGGCTCTCACGTACACCAGCTCTAGCGATAATGCAGAGGTGCATGCATACAGTATATCACAAGTTAGCTGGCTTTCTGAAGAAAGGACTGAAACTTTAAAAGCTTTCCTCATCCTCTTCCATCACCCAGAATTTTTAATGTGCAGCTGAACATCCAATTTAGTGAGACATACGTGTACTTTCAGCACGAAAGCAGCGAAGAAAGGTAAGCAATGTGATATTCTGTGTATATACATGTAACAGACAAGTTAGAACTGTAACAATAAAATGGCAATGAAGAACTCATGAAAGAGTCATGTCACACAGATGTGGACATCATGACTTAACAGCAACCCTCTCAGGAAACATGAGATTTCTCAGGATGAGAGAAAAGGAAGTGTTAATTTTTATGGGCATGAACATTTAAACCGTCAAGTTCACCAATACTCTACCCATCAGGTGGCTTCCAAACAGTCTACAAGTAATGCTTCTACATCTCACTTTCCAAAAACTCTTAGATCAAGACCTGGTCATTTTTCCATGGAACTCTGGATTTAAGCACTCCATGTCTGGACTATTTGACATGTACAATGTGGTACTTCCTTAAGTTTTCTTTATCACATGTATTTTCCTATAGCAGTCCACAACTACTTACAGTTAAGAAAACTGAAGAAAGTTGAAAGGGAGTGCAAGAACTGACCTAAACTTTCTGAACATATTATTTGCTGGTTAGTAAAGGAACTCTGAAGCAAAACTTCAGTGATTCATACAAAGGTGCTGTAATATCAACTCAAACCAGATGGCTGTTCTTGTCTATCCAAACAGTGTTTTCCCATCCAGAGGATAGGCTGCTCCTTCTGTTCTTCTGAAATTCTTACATAGTCACACCTTAGTGCTTTCTGAAAATCACAATGTCAAATGACCAAGCACATTCCTCTGCCCCTCCTTTTTCCAGAAGGGAAAGCAATGTATTTACCTTGTGCCAAATCAAAGACGTGTGCTTTGCTAATCACCAAAGACCACCTCTCCCAGAAAAGCTGCATTTTCCCTCCATCAAGCAACCTATCCCACAAACACGGTAAATCTTTTATTTATTGACTTTAAATATCATGCAATTCCTAGTCCAAAATGAGCAATCTGCAAGGCTAAAGTGCCATCTAAGGCACCTGCAGAAACAGGAGTTAACAGCAGAAACAGGTCCTTAAGAAATCTTCAGGTTGCACAAGACATTCAAAAACTGTTCTCTTTGTTGGTTTGTTTTTTAATAAAAAGGCTGTGCTGCCTTACTGTTTTCTGGTCATTTCTATCTTTTTTAATAGATGCGATGTTACACCTTCAATTTAGATATAAAAAAGGCACATTACAAAAATTACACGAGAAAACTGTATGTTAATGCTCTTGACTATCCACCACACACTGTACTAGAAGACCAAAGATGAGAGATAGAAACACATGTTTATACAACAGAAGAAGTGCTGCTAAGTGCTGGTTTTGTGCTGCTGGCACAAAACCAATTCCCCACACAGGTGTTCAGGTCAGGCTCCCTCCTAGCATTGCAGTGGGGCCTGTGGTCACCAGAGTCATGTCCAGCTTTGTGCTGAACGTGTCTGGTTTTTGGCCTGCACGAAAGGCACGTGCCTCTCACCAGGAGCCTCTCCTTTACCCATCTGTCACTAAGAGATGCGTCACCCTGGGTATGCGCAGGGCCTCATTAATCACAGCTTGGATTCATTGACAGACTGCACTTTCTGACAGAAGCAGCCCCATGGTGTAAACACCCAGACTGACGTTACTCTGTATCACGTAGCTGCCAGCTGAAGCACTCCAAAGCTATTTTATGAACATAATGACATGATTCTTTCTTGTGACATTCATAACATGACTGACCACAGCAAAGTGGGTAATACACACCATGTAAAACTGCAGACGATAGTGTTTCTTCACTAAACTCAGAACAAACATGCAGAAGCCTGTAAAATAAAGTAAGTGTAGTTTGTACCACTGTATATTCAATGACACTGAACCATGATATGCCAGTCATTCTCTTCCCTTGAAACTCTTCCCAGTTCCTCTGGTCAGAGTATTTGCTTCTGCTCAGTAACCACAGGCACAGAATTATTCTCATTAGAGCAGACTTAGCAATCCTTAGTAAGAAGCATCTGTTTTGTTCCTTCCAAGGTCCCATCATGGAAATCTAAGCATGGAGAAAAACTTTTATCTGGCTTAAAAAACAGTAACAGTAGACAAAGCACTTTATTAACAGCAGGTTTCTTCATCTATGTTATGAATACTTCAGCACGGCAGTCTCCTGCTCCTTAGAACAACCCGAGTCTTCAATTGATTACTTTCTAAGCTAATGATAATATTAATATAGTAAATAATAGTAATATTAATGTTGCGTTCCTGAAAGCAGAGCAGACTGTATTTAGTGGTTTACAAAGCCATATCCCACAAAGCTGGACTGGGAGGAAAATTTATCTATGAGGCAAGCAAAAGTGCATCTTGCAGATAAAACAAACTCTCAGGTCTTTGGAAGAATAGCTTGAAAATATAATACCAAGCTCCCGGCTGCTGACCTGGCAGAACACTTGCACAATAAAGCATTAACCCATTACAGAAATGGTGAATATAAGCTATTTCACAGACTGTCAAAACACCCTGCACATATTCAGGATCATCAATCATCAAAAAACCAGTCCAAGATGATTCCTAATGAGCACCATAAGCTCAGCTTTCCTAAGATAATCCGCTTTTTCTTAGGTTACTCCCTGAGTAAATGCAAAAAATTACACTCATTTTCATGATGAGAATAGAATTGGGAATTTCCTTAAACAGCACCAGAAAAATTAATGGAGAGAATAACAGCAGAAAGCTTTAAAAAAAAAAAAAAAAAAAAAAAAAAAAAAAAAAAAAAAAAAAAAAAGCAAGAACAAAAAAGAACAACAAAAACAAACAAACAAAAAAACCAAAACCCACCATGAAAACATACACAAATAGGCACAAGAGGAAATGCAGCTCAAAGATCTTCAATTTCTATCATTCCCCACACTTACCTGCCAAGTAGAGTGCAAAAGAGATGAACCTGTGGTAACGAATTAAGAACTGAAGCTGTTCTCTTCTCTGAACAAACGTACCAAAGTAATCAGCCACAGTCTCCCCATAAAAAAAGTAATTGACACACAGCAAGAAATACCTAAAACAAATAAAGGTAGCTATTATTTTAACACGGTAATACAGGGTTGTGTCATTCAGTTAACATCGCTCACAAACATACACAATAAGAAACTGTACCTCTGGTTTGAAGCCTTCTCCAACAAGCAAATTTTGTAATTTATTTCTTATAATGAAATCCGATTAGAAAAATAAATGCCACAGAAATCGTTTCACGTACTGTACTGAATAATTCACACCTACCAAAGCCCTTTTCAGATATTCTCACAGTATAGAGTAAGTATCAGATACCTTCTATACTCAGTAATACAACTGGGTACATTCTTGTACTCAATTCTAACATGAAAAGCTCATGATATCTGCCACAGAAAATAATAAGATACTTGCAGAACAAAACCTCTGAGTTCAAACCTCTGTCGATGTGTTTGAGGATCTGATCAGAACTTTACTTTTGCCATCTGGACTGAAGATTCTTGTGTGAAAGAGTTACAGCTGCATCTTCTCCTGCGTCTTTCACTTCTAGCTTCCTTCACCTAACAATAATCTTATGGAGTTAAAGTCCATTCACAAATCAGTGACACAGCTCCAACCACAACTTCTTCCAAAATAAACTGGAAGTACATCCAAACACAAAGTCTGAATGAAGTGAGATGTCACCTTCATACGTCTCCTTCTGAAGGATTTTTCAAAAGAAAAAAAAGCTTCATGCAGCCAAACCAGCTAACATGCAAATAAAAAATAAATAAATAAAAAAATAGAAAAAAAATCAAATTCAAAACCAGTAAAAGATGCACGTTTCTCAAGCAGCATGTTCTTCAGCTTTTTACTGGAGTCAGAAAAGCCAAAAACACATCATTCAAGATGGGCTGGATATCTGGATGTTTATGGAGATCAGTACTTCTCCTCCAAGCCAATCCTAAAGTCCACTTTGCAAGGCTCTGCACCTCAAACTATGCCTCACAGCTCACGTTCCAATCACTAGCAGTACCCTCCCACCCAGCTGATAGGTCTCAATATGCAGTCTCAGCAGCAAGACTTTGGGTGGTACTGAAATGCTGATTTTGAACTTAGCATACATAGGTAGACTGTAGTTAACTGCCAAAGTAGACCAAGTGGTACGCTGTACACCCTCTAAGAAGCAGGACATTGACACAGATATCCTGGATTTGTCAGAAACATTAATCCTGTCCTGTGGCTTTCAAAATATCCCCTACCACTTCTATCTACCCAGTCCTGTGACTAAACTCAAAACAGGAAAGGATTTAGAACTTGTACATCATGATTTCAGTTACTTGCTTGTGAAAAGAATCCTTTAAAAGTACACAGAATTACTTGCAAAAGTCAAAGCTTTTCAGATAATATAGCTCAGGTGATTATTTGGCTATGCACATTTTCAGGCAGCTTCCAAATGCTTAATTCTGACTTCAAGCAAATATGCATGCACAGAAATGTGTACATTCATACATATTTATAACAGGAAAAAAAGTAGTAAAAAGCCAACTTATTTGTTCAAGTTCACAAAAGGAAGGCAATTACAGAGTCATGTAGTAGAGACAGATGCCAGGTTTTACATCTGCACATGACTTACAAAGCTATCCTTCCATCATGCCAGGATACAAACAATGTTAAGACTTAAATTTCACATCTCTACTTATTGACCATCTTGCTTGCTACTTACCAGCTGAGGGATCTGAACCACGGTAAATCATACGAGTGATACACTCTGTAACCTATAGTAATGATTTCGTGGAAACATTTCACTTGGATGCCCAAGACCTAAAATTAAGAAAAAGAAGGAACAATGTACACTGACCGCTGCTTGTTTCTTTAAGGCTGTGTGGAGCACTGCAGCCTGCATTAAGGGGGGAAAAAATTACTCTGAATTTAAATTCCATGCAGAAAGGAGACAGCTTCCAAACAAGAACAAGGAGAAAGTCAAGCTCTGCTTAACTGTCCCTGCCCCCTTAACTCACAGCCATTAGGTTTGTAAAAAAGACACACTGAGCTTGTCAAAAAAAGGCACTCTGGGCTAGCTGCAAGAATCCCCTCAAGAAATAAGAGAGAATTCCTGACTGTTCCTCATTAAAATACTTGGATGGCAGCAAGTCAAAAGCATTTCCATAAAGAGAAAGCTCTTTTGGTTAAGTTTTATTTAAATTCAAGAGATACGTTCAAGGTAGAAAAAACAAAAAAAAGTCGTGCAATGCAACATAGCAAGCCTTCCATTTGCAAGTACTTCATTACAGGTAAGTCTACACTGATAATTATCGGTGCTGATTAGAAGCACAGGTCACCCAGTGCAGGTATAAGTATCACACCCTGCACAGCCTTGCTGCTGTTTCATTATCTCACCATGGCTGTGCTTGCCTACGCACGTCTGGAGGCGCACTCTGCTGGCCACGGGCCCTGAGGGACTCAGCCAGGTTTGCTTAACTTTTAGTCACCGAGCAGACCATCTTGCCCTGATACCCAGTGCTTTCAAACAGTGCTAAGAAGTAATCTTGTGCAGACACTGGAGGAGGAACCTACCCACACTGACTGTGCATGCCATCACCATAGGCTTTGCAGGATTTCTCTGAGCACCTGCACTCATGAATGCACTTCACCTTGTTCAAAACAGTTTGAACAGTATTACATCACTTCAGCGAGTTAATTCTGACACCTGCCTTGCTCATGCCCTCAATTCTGCTTTGCCTTCATCATAAACTCTAACGTCACAATTGCCCATAGTATTTAAAGGTTGGTGTAAAGGACATTTGGGGCTGAAGGTGTGGAAGTTTCTGCCTCAACAGCAAACAAACACAATATACATTCCCCCAGTTTTTGGGAGCAGTTTGAGGACTTGTCCTCCAAACTTATCTGGATTACCCTTCCTACAGCTCTCCAGGCATCCTCCCGGCCCGTACTAAGATTTGGTTTTAGCATGACAACTCCTGAGAAAATTTAAGCTATGTGACTCCAGTGAAACTGAATCATACACAAGCAAAACTTTTTATTACTTCACTTTTTGAACAGTGTAACAAATATCAAATTTAGACACAGTTAACTGTATTAGGCAACTGTCTTTTTTGCTTTATAGTACAGAGGAAGAATTCTCTATTAATTCTATACTAACCTCAACTGCTTTTTAGTTCATATCCTGTTAGCTTTGCCATGACTGAAATTTTGCAGCACACCATGAATATAGCAAATAATAATGCAAAGCCAGCAGTTTCTTTTTGCTCCAGTTATTCTGAAAGTGTTATAGACTACTGACATAGCAAGAAATGTCTCTCTAACGAGCTACAACTTAACAGAGCTTTTTTTGTTGTTTCTTCATACACTCAGTAAAATCATCTGCCACTGAAATCACAAGCTTGTTGTGCCATTCTTCTAAAGACAGGAAATACAAACCAGACTCATTCAGATGTAGGGACTGTAATAAAGACCATAATACTGGTGAAACAGCATTCCAGCATCTCAAGAGGTGTTTTGGAGTAGACATGGAAAAAATAAAGGTTTTGACAATTTGACAATCCTGGGGGAGAAATCAAAGCAGCTAACCAGAAGTACTAAACTCCAGAATTTTAGGAAACATGTTTCTTTTTGTTGTTTGCCACAACTGAAAAAAATAATTGAACCCTCATTCACTAGGAATAGCAGAAATAAAAGCAATGGAAAGCAGCAGCATGCAGTGGATGCTAATCCACTACGTTTGTTTACTTTGTGACCTAAAAATGCATTTTGTCTCTGTGTCACAGACAGGCACCTAGCTCCACTCTGCCACGGCAGCTCTGGAGAGAAGCAGGGAATTAATGGAGCGTGACTGAGGAAAGTCCTCCAGCGCCAGGCACTGCCAGCTGACTTGAACTGCCTGCTTTTCTCAGCCTGAAAAATGAAGCTCCCTTTGTGTATTTCAAACAAAATCAAAGGAGGGTATGAGAAGGTAATGGGAATCAGACAAGGAAATAGATTGATTTCATTAGTTTCAAGGCAAAAATCCTTTTGACTTGTTTAATTTCATCCCAAATAAAGTTACCGAGGAGGTCTTCATCCAAAAGCACCCAATTGAGAACCTTTTCAGTAGTTCAAAGACACCTACATTTACAGAAGAGAAACTGCTTTCTGTAATGTCTGCGCTTTGCTTCCAGCTATTCCTTATGCTGGACAAAGAGATTAAGTAACTCTTGCACAATACAGAGTATTTAAAGAAACTCACCAGAAGCATCAGCATGAAAGATCCCATGTATATGATCAGAAAAAACACAGAAATCATAGCTAGCGTTAGAATCCCACGAATCCACCAATTTTTCCATCTGTAAAGAAAAACAGTATAAAAAGCAAGCAGTTACAAATGAAAACAAAGGCCACTCCTACACTGTGCAAACACTTGAGTTGATGAGAAGCAGCAGGAAGCCCAGATACATCTTGCTTAATAGAACATACAGCAAGAAACACAGAATCTAGTTTACTAGCTGCCAGCTCAACAGAACACATGGTAAAAGAAAGCAAAGGTAGCAATCTTCCCTCTTTCCTCATAGCCTCTCCTCCCTCTTATTTCAGACGTTATGGATCAGCCCCTCCTTGAAGGCGGCTGTGAAAATACATCAGGATCCTCTGGGAGCTCTTCACAGCAGGAGACATGGGGAAAGCAGCCGTACAAAGACTTACATGTAAACAGAAAGGCTGCCAGGAAAGCAGCATACAGGTCTCTAAAGACTGACAGACAAAAATAAATAAATAAATATCTGGGAATAAACTCACTGCATGCTCCACTCTGCCATGGAAATGTTTTTAATTATTAATAATGGGTACCGTACTTCCTTTTCAGTAAGTTCTTCTCCTCCTCTGGTTTGCTCCCTTCAAAAGTCTTGCCCATACATGTACAGTCAACCAAGAAATCACAACTTACTGCTAAGCACAAAAGAAAGCCTACTAGATCTTGAAGAAAAGGTCTTCACAGTGTCCTCCTTTAATACCAGTTTTACGTGTCACTGCTGCCCCAGTAGACACACTTGCTTCAAGAGACACTCAGTTTTGCTTCATGTTTTGCATTTAACGTAGAGTTGAACTACCTTCATTTGATATTCATCTGCCAGCTAATGGCAGCTAAAGCCACTAAGTGGAACTGCCAAAATTGTCAGAACAAAGTTGGAGAGGAATTCATTACAATAAGGCTTTAACTTCCCCTTCAGTATGAGTTACGGAGAAGCGGCTTGTTCCTCATGGCCTACTTATCAAAAGTGAAAATGCTGCCCAAAAAACTTACAAAAGTTCATCCAGAGAATCAACACTTTCACTTAAACACAAATGGCCCCCTCATAAAGCTTGAATGTAGGAAATAAGCGTTTATAACCCTAGAAATTCTGACTCTAGAGATCAAACCCAAACACTACTCTCTCACATATTTTATTGCAACGCTTAGACAGAACAACTGCAAAAGTTTCAGTGAACTGTGGGCAACCTTCAGCTGCTGTGAAACAACATTACACTAAATGGGCTTCTGAAGCATAAATATCAATTGTGACAACAAATCAAAAATTATCCTTGAATTTTTGTATGTACCAAGTGAAAATTAAAACTACAATACAGTCTGCAATAATTTTAGTTGGCAGCTCTCCCATTAGAGAGCTCGTTTGTTTTACGATACCTGGCAGACAAGCCTGACAAAGCCCTTTTGAGGATTTCTGGAGTGCTGTCTGTTGGTGGTGGAACATCGGGGGTATCCGAATCATTTCTGAGATCCAAATCAACGAGTCCTTCATCCAAATCCACTTCCTATGACCAGAGGAAAAAAAATATATAGCTCAATCACCTCAACTTGACATACAGGAATATTAATTATGCCACAACACAGTATTCAGTCACAAACACATCTTGGAAAGTGACGTAGGAATTATCAGTTCCCTAAATCGAGAAAGCAATGATGTGCTAGTCAATGCTAGTCAAGTGTTGATGCTGTAGAAAGCAAGTGTGCATTAATACATGTTTATGAGAAGGGCAGTACTCTAGTGTTGTGACACGACCTGCTACACTCAGGGAACTTCATATTCTGGGCACTCTCTCTACCCACCTACATAAGCACAAGGATATTTGTTTCCAAAAGAAATAAAGGTGAATAAAACCGAGGTTTAAAAAAATCCCTTAGTCTCCAACAAACTTCCTCACCTTAATTTCAAGATAATCTAAGGCAGCAAAGGGTCTTCTGGTGGCGTCACACAAAGAAGAAAGAAAACGGAGCACCAGACCAACCTCTCCACAATGAGAGATTGCTTTCACAGTCTCACACACACCTATGAGGGGACTTGAACCCTCCAGCTTGAAAATAAATGACCCAAGAACAAACTGAAGGGACCCTTGAACCCTCCAGCTTGAAAATACATGACACCCAAGAACAAATTATGAAGGGATCAGTGACAGTATTATTCAGAATAACCTCTTGGTACAACCCCAGCAAAGCACCTGGATCTTCATTGTTCACTGACTACTCAGAAGATACGAGATAGACTGATCTTTCATCTTATCCAAAAGCAACATATGGAATCTAACGTGCAAACTGTCACCAACAGTGAGAGCAGATCACTGAGATTTCTTTTTCCTCAGCAGCAGTCAATACCCAAGGTGCTGATTTACTTCATTCTTCTGTTACAAACCCCTAACTCTGCGCAGGTGGAAGGCAGTGCTTGGCCCTGGTGCAGCTGCTCCCTCCTTCTGAATATTTTTGGTATTTTAGAAGACAGCAGAGTACATTTCCCTTTGCCTCCAAAAAAACCACTGTGGAGCTAAGGTCTACAGTCCCAGCCATCGCTTGGTTCCTCTATAGTCTGTAGCCTTTTCCCTGTAACCTCTTGCCCTACAGGAAGCTGTGCTTGAACATAATCAGAGCTTCAATAACCATAATCTCAGCCTCAGTAACCAACAACCTGTGTCAACAACACAAGTGGAAAAGGTAAGGCGTGCCAAACCTCACTGCCTGAAGCTGCTGATGGAGCCCGCATTCAGAAACACACACCAAACCGGGCTGAAATGGGGAAGCTTGGAGGCCTGGTTTGGAGCTGTTTGGGCTCCCAGCGCTGGCCTGCAGGAGGTGAGCAGGGAGGCTGGGCCCTCCCCTCTGATCCCATGGCTGAGCAATCATCAGGCAGACACTGACTATAATTAATAGGCATTAGAAGAGTAAATATTTGAAGCGTGATCTAAATCTCAGGAAGTTTGTTGAAGGCCTGAAAAGCAAGCAAACAAACAAATTAATGGGCATGCAAGCCTTGTTATTCAGACTTGGCTTTTTCCAGTTTTGTAGTGCTACAGGTTAGGAAATCAACTATAGGTATCATAACGCACACAAGAAAAAGGTAAAAAATAAAAAATAATCACAAGCCTTTCTCCAAACCACTGTTCCACCTCTTACAGTCTGCATCCAAGTACAAAAAGCTGTTTGCACAGTGCTAGAAGATAGCACTGCACTGCAGATGAAGGGCAGTAATCCTGGCCCTAAGACCACGACTTAGAGTATTTAATATTAATCCTTGTTTGTGCACAGCAGAGAAGTTCTCTCCTTTATGTACTGAGAACTAAAAATACCTCCAAGATTTTTGTTCCATTTCTGGGCTTTCAGCACAGCTCTAAGTGGTTCCATGCTCAACTGCTGTTTAAACAGCAAGAAATAAAACCATGCCTATTTTTACACCTCTGATATTTTAACACAATCTTTACTCATGCACCTAACTTGAAGCAATGTTTTCAATTTGATATTTCCAGCATCTGAAATCTGTGGCATTTTTCAGAGCATGTGAACACCATGGAGTCCTCCTGTGCTTATCCAATGCATCTTCAGCAGTTTGATGCTGCTGTTGCTATCAGAAGGTGGGCCGGTGCAGTCTTCAAGCTGCACACATTCTGCCATTTTTTAGCTTTAAATTGCTAGAACAACTTGTGGGGAATAAACCATGAACTATCTTCTATTTCCCTTTGAACCTTACCTCAGCAATGACCTTGAGCACTTACTTCATCTTCCATTTCATGCTATAATGGCCACAAAACATTTCCTGAGTAAAGTATTTAATTTGCCAAGTCCGAAGCCAAAGAGGAAGTTGCTCACTAACAGTCAGTTAATTGTCATCTCCAGCATGAAATGCTTTAAGAACCCAATCACTTGGGGACATACTTTTCTTGTTAATTTTTTTTCTTAGTTACATAATTGACTATAAACATTCCAGTTAATAGCTAGGAATAACAACAATCATCACTGCAGTAACCAGTGGTGTGATCACTACAAAAGCCCTCAAAAAAAAAAGATCAGATCAGGAGTCTTGCTATTTCAGTTTGACTTTGCAGATCAGTTCTGGAGCAAATATAAAACCCAGCAGCCCTTCCTTCTCCTGTTCTCCTGGTCTGGGACCTAACCAAGCTGAACACACAGCAACAGTGAGGATGTGCAAGGGGCAACGCATGAAAAGCTACAGCTTGAGGCTGTGGGCTCTGATTGACAAGTTTTTCAAACGTCAAGTGAAAACACCAGAAGTTGTAGTGTCCAAAATGACACCTTTTAACCTCAGCTCCAAGTTAAATGTTTGATATGAGGTATTGCCACATCTCCCCACAGTTCTCACACAGCAGGTGACAGAGCCTTTCACACGCACTCATCTCATTGGTTCAGGCCCCAAGTGCCTGTGACAGACAGACACTACAAGGAGGCTGTTGCCTTGCCTCTCCTCATCTGAAGGCTCATGTTCCTGCAAGAGAACCCATCTAACCAGCTCATTAAGGCTAAGTCCAACAGGGCTGAATGATGTAGGCCTGATAAGAATAGGAAGAAGGCAAACACAAACTGTTATTCAGCCGCTCCTAGGAGCTCAGTGCCCAACAGATGTTTCTTTCTGAAGGTGCAATGTTCATCAGTTTTCAGCATTTGTGAACTAATCCAAGAGAAGAGTGTATGTAGTTGTAGAGGTTTGGTTTGTTTTAACGTTGGCTTTCCTAAAAAGTGACGAGACTTCCATCCTCAAGCTAAACTGAGCAATATTACAAATACTGTTCTGTAGGAGGAACTCAAGGAAGGACACTGTGCCTACCTAGCAGGAGGTATTGTGGCACCTGCACAAAAATCAAGCTTCCATATGGAATTCTGCTTGCTTTCTGCTTTCCAGCAGCCACCAAAATACATTCATGTGTCACGCATAAAAATAAAAACAGACCTGTCAACCTCTCACCTTCTAAAAGGCCATACTCATCTTAATTGCCATCCCATATAAGACATTTCTGCGCTACAATTAACAGACGCCGAGTGAAACATGCACAGGAATTACTCATTACTAAGGCACTTGCAATGTTCTGTTAGTACTGGACTATTTCCATAACACAGTAAGAAACTCAGGTAGACACTGTAAATATGCTTTCCTCAGAGAACGGAGCATCACCTGTGTTAAGAGAAAAGGAAGACAGACATTTTCCAACAACTTATATGCATATATATGTACTTCTATTTTCACATATATATACACACATAGAAAGCAAATAATTGATTGCCATTTTACCAGTGTAATTGTTCAGTTTTCTTCTCCAGCATTGATCTTTCTACAGCCTCTCCCACAAGTGTTACACTGAAGCTAATAGTTCAGTGAGAACACCTTGTGGCGTATTTAAATTAATGTACTTCGATACCTTCCTCTGAAGCCAAGCCATCAAAGCATCAGAAGATCTTGAATAGTAAAACCTTTTTTTTCCAAGCTGTTGAAGCCCAACATAAGCAAAACCACAATCCCATGAAAACTGCACACACCAAACCACCAACTGAAACCTCCACATCCCAACTCACACACTTTCAAGATGTGAGTTTTGAAAATAGTTAGCCGTCTTGTTACCCATCAAACTAACCAGGTCTATTTTCTGGTTATTCCAACATTACTAAGCAAACTGAAAGAAGTGATTTGTGACAGAGTCTAACATTTCACTCTAACCGACACTGTCATTAGGATTTCATTTAACTCCAAGTGAGTTTAGAACATTTAAAGAATCACTGAATCATTTGAGTTGGACGGGGCCTTTAAAGGTCATCTAGTCCAAGTTCACTGCATCAAGCAAGGACACCTGCTGCTTCAGCAGTTGCTCTGAGCCCCATCCAGCCTGACCTCAAATGTCTCCGGGTTCAGGACACACACCATGACTCTGGACAAAATTTGGGGCCAGCCTTGCAGGTGAGAGCCTGAGCCCAAGTCATTTCTCCAGCAGCTGACTCCCAGAAGGGCTGTTTCACTGAACAGAAACACTTTTTGTGCTGTTACTGGAGAAACACCAGTCAGTGATTCCAGGTTTGTTTTACTTAGAAATAATTAACACTTAGCCTGGGCACACAGTCACTCGTTTGGTGGCTACACGGCAACACAACACCGCTTCCTGAACTCTGTGTGACACCACGAGAAGTAACCATCTCCCTACCTTCAGGACACACTGATGTCTTTCAAGCATTTGAAAGCAGCATCACAACCTTCATGGTAACAAATGCAACAGTTGGAATTTTGAGAGTAGCGTGAACAGCAATCTGCAAAACTGTAACTGACTTTTTCATACTGAGTATTTTAATGCTAAATCATTCCACTTGCTCTGGAGGGCAGTGGAGTATTCATGGAAACATAAGACATTTATGGGAAAAGCACACAAGGCACACAGCAACAGATGGGACAGGGAAGACCTAAAGATCACTCCTGCACATCACAGGACAATGTGAGGAAAGAAAAAACTTGTGAAATCGCAGAGGCCCATGGGGCAAAGGCACGCTGACAGGAATTTTGCAGTCATCAGCTTGATAAGGTTGCAGGCAGCTGGGGACACTAAGCTATGCAGTGCTCAGGAACAAGCTATACAAAGGGCATACGGCATTTGTTCTAAACCAAAGTTACCTTCTATTCGAAAACAAGGAAGTAGAAACAGATACTGATTGTTTCTGCGTATTACTAAGAAGAAGAGCAGAAAAGGGAAGAAAAAAAAAAAAAGAAAAAAAAGAAAACCAACAAACAACCAAAAAGCTTGACTTAAATTCACTAGGAAATGAGCATTTCTGGACTTAGCAAGCATTGTAAGTATCAGCAAACATACTGAAAATGCCAATGAAGGGTCTAACAGATAAAAGCCTTCAGATATACTCAAGAGTTCTTGCAGGTCTTGAGCAAACTCCGAGCATTCCTCTGCATTGACATGCACGGTGCTTTAAAGCATGTCCCTTTTACCCATCTGGAAACTGAATGAATTGGGTCAGCAGCAGTTGCATCAGAAGCCAGCAGTTTCCATACATCCACATTCTCATTTTAAGTGTGGAAGAGGGTGATGTTTCCCAGCTGCGCAGTGGGGAGCAGCAGAAACCCATTGCTTCACAGCCATCTGGAGCAGTCATGGAGGAGGGAACAAGTTTCCAAGTGTGCAGCCCCCAAGGCAGAACAGGCAATGTGCAAACATCTGAAGGAGAACGTGCTGTCTGCATGTTGCAAAGGCGAGGCAAGAGGCAGAGCACGCACGTTCCCATCTATGGGGACACAGAGTGTGGTGGCACCTGTGAATCCCAACGGCCTCATACTCCCCATCAGATCCCCTATGGCGTGCACAACCACTGCGCCCACCACTAAATGAGGACCCAACTGTGGCGGATACAAAACTCATCTCTAGGATCCTGGGCTTGCCTTCCCAGCAGCCTGACAAGCCCTTGTGGCAGGGGGAGCTGAGGTGGGACGGGGGGTTGGGGGCAGGTCGCCATGTCCAGAGCTGAGCAAAACCAAATGCTTCTGTAGGAAAGCAGTATTTTGAGCAGACCGCTATGAAAAGTCATAGCTAAAACAAGTTCTCACGTAGGGAGACACACGCAGCTGTGGCCTAAGCGCTGCCGTACAGAACGGGGCCCTGAACGCGGCACACTCCGGCTCACTGCAGAGCTCGGTGGCTCCGTGCCCTCCCAACCAAAGTGCAGGACGAGGGCTGCCGGCAGACTTTCGCTTTCTCACTCCGCACAGCCCCGCAGCTCCGGCAGCGCGCGGCTCCCGGCGGCCCTCCGCCCACAGCCCTCCTTTCCCCGCGGTAACCGGAGCAGCCACGCCGCCCCCCGCAGCCTCCCGGCGCCCGCCCGCGGCCTGCCCAGCCCCACGGCCCCACCGCTCCTCACTCTGTCGCTGCCATCCTCCTCCTCCACCTCCTTCTTCTCCTCCTCCTCATCAGCGGCCGCTCGTCGCCGCCGCCGGGCCGACATGGCGGCGGGAGCGCGCTGTGGCCGGGCGCGGCGCTGGCAGCCCCGTCAGGGGGCGCGGAGCCGGCCGCGTCCCCGCCGCCGCGGTGTCCAGGTGCGCCCGCCGCCGGGCCGGCCCTCCTCTCTGTCGCTGGGCGGAGCGGGGCCGGCGCCGCCCGCCCCCAAGGCACCTGCGCTGCCCGTGGAGCCGCACTCCCGGCCTGCGGGTCGGGCTGACGCGAGGGCGTCTTTCGGTAATGGCTCTGTTGCCTCAGAGAAGGGCCGCTCCTGCGGGAGGCCGGTCCCGAGCACAGGGCGGGCAGCGCGCTGAGGTGTGGTTCCCGCCCTCGGACAAAGGTTGCCTGGTTGCCGACGCCTCATAAACACGGCTGTAAATGTGTTTCTCCATCGGTGCTCCACATCTCCAGCGTGAGGACCCCGCTGCTCCCTGTGCTGGAACTTGCTGTCTCGAGGCGCACACGGAAGCACTGAGCAGCTCGCCTGCTCCCCGTGGCCCTGCCGGCACAGCCTTGCTGCACACCTCCCGGCAAAGCTGGCCTAGCAGTAAAGCCACAGAAAAGATCTTCCCACGTTCGGCAGACACAAGTGATGCTTTGCTTCCTGCACAAAATCACAGAATCACAGGAGTTGGAAGGGACCTCCAGAGATCCCCAGCCCAATCCCCCCCTGCTGGAGCAGATCCCTGCAGCAGGTCACACAGGAAAGCCTCCAGGTGTTCTGAGTATCTCCAGAGAAGCAGACTCCATGACTGCACTGGGCAGCTGTTCAGTGCTCTGTCACCCTCGCAGGAAACTTCTTCCTCATGTTTGTATGGAATTCCTGCGTTCCAATCTGTGCCCGCTGCCCTTGTCCTGTTGCTGCACAGCACAGAACAGAGCCTGGCCCCACCCGCATGATTCCCACCCGTTAGATATTGATAAGCACTGATCCGATCTGCTCTCAGCCTCCCTCCTGCAGGCTGTACAGCCCCAGCTCCCTCAGCCTTTCCCCATGCAAGAGGTTTTCCAGGCCCCGATTATCTTTGTTGCCCTCCGCTGGACTCTGTCCAGAAGTTCCCCGTCCTTCTTGAGCTGGGGAGCCCAGAACTGGGCACAGTGCTCCAGATGTGGCCTCATCGTGGAAGAGCAGAGGAGGAGGATCACCTCCCTCACCCTGCTGGCCGCATTCTTTGCAACGCACCCCAGGATCCCACTGCCCTTCTTGGCCACAAGGGCACACTGCTGGCTCATGGCCAACCTGCTATCCACCAGGACACCCAGGTCCTTATCCACAGAGCTCCTCTCTAGCAGGTCAGCCCCCCATCTGTTGGCACCGATGTGTGCAGGTATTCCTCCCCAGGTGCAGGACATGCCCCTGCTGAACCTCATCGTGTTCCTCTCTGCTCAACTCTCAGCCTGTCCAGGTCTCTCTGAATGGCAGCACAGCCTTCTGATGTGTTAACCACTCCTTCCAGCTTTGTATCATCAGCAAACTTGCTGAGGGTGCACTCTATCCCTTCATCCAGGTCATTGATGAAAATGTTGAACAAGACCAGACCCATAAAGCAAATGCTTACATCCCATTCAGGATGAGCAGCCACCTCCTAAACTGTGAAAGGGAAAAGATTCACCTAGAAAAACTCAGAGGAGAAAATATTTCTTTAGCAAATGGACTAATGCAATGATAACAGCAAAAGCTAACCAGCAGAGACAGAAAGCCAAAGTTATTAATGAATGGAGAGCAGATGAGTGCAAGAGCATGAGTCACTGCATTTGGGGATAAGGAAGAGAGGGAGCACCTGAGCAACTGGTGACAGTGGGGTGACAGCGTGAACAATCCGATGGGCAGGGCCATGAAGAGAGAGAATTAAAAACAAGAACCAGGTGCCAGAAGGATTAGATGGGCACATGAGCCCAGTCTTCCTTTTTTCTTGTCTCTGAGCTGTGACAGCAAGGCACAGAGATGACACAAGATGAGCGAGGGCCAGGGCTGCAGGCAGAGCAGTGGGACTGGCAGCTGAATGGTCGGGGCTGGCAGCAGAATAGTCTGGCTGCTCCTGGAAGCCCAGTACACACCCTCAGCTTGCAGTACCCTGAGTCTCAGCTGGTTGGACTGGTCGGGTAGGAATCCTCCTCTCTGCTGCTCAGGATCCTGTGGGGCAATGAGCCGCTTTGCCTGGAATGTAACATTACTTCTCTGGAGTGTTTTTGTGTTTTCACAATGTGTGGTAGGAACTGCCACATTCTTCACACAAAGAGACATCGGCATGCCTGCCAACAGCCCTTCTGATATACCAATATTATTGTGGATCTCATGTACAAGTGAAGTATCAATGAAGAATTCTCAACTAGAGTCCTCAGAAGTTCCTGCTGCCGGGCCTTTGCCTCTCACATCCATTCAGTGACCAAAAGCTGCTGGCGAACAAACCAAAGCCGGGTGCTTGGGCCCAGTGCTTTCCACAACAGAGGCACCCGGCGTGTCCCCATGCTCAGCCCGTGTATCGGATAAGGTGCAGAGCGCACCACAGCCACGCTGCGCCGAGCAGCAAGCGGCTCCGCGCTGTCTCTATGCTCTGCGTACAGAAGGGGGAGCGCTCTGCAGGCAGACACACAATGAAGTCCCTACACTGCCAGAGTTACATAATCCCTGTGTGAAAACGCGTGCATGAGCTGCATGCAGAGCCCTGCTGGGAAGGCAGTCTGCGAGGGGCTGCTGCAGCCTCTGCTGACTACCACCGAGCCCCTTCTGCAGAGGGCAGCGGAGCAGATCAGCCCCCTTCCTTTCACAGCAAGAGCAGCCTGAAGGAACCGGCCCCTGGCAGCTGTGAGGCTGAGGAACAGAACCGACCAGGCCTGGAATGTTGCTTTGAGATTTACACCTCCTTCACACAGGGGAGCCCAACTGCTGGAACTCTTGGAATCAGAAATTATTCACAGCTTTTGTCTTGTTGAAATTGATTCCTACTTATACACAGAACAGTGGAGACGTGGAAAATGTCAGTACCCACTGCTCAGCATCAACGGCAATGTCACACGACGTCAGCAACAGCACTGTGTCCCACAGGTTGTAGCAATTATAAACAGCACTGTAAGATGTTGCATGTAATCAATTTGCAATCTTTTCCTTATAGAGAAATATAGAGAGGAAAACAGAGCAGTCACACAACACCCCCAGAGTTTGAACTGCATAGAGCATGGCGAGCCCATAGCACAGGTGCTCCCGCACCACAGGGACTGCACCGAGCAGCACTGGGACTGCATGGGGAAGTGCAGCGCCTGCGCTTGGTGCTGCCTGGGGAGTGAACACAGCTGGATTCCAGGCCTGGAGCTCGGTGTCGCACAACCTGAGTGCTCCCAGGTGAGTCCTCCTCTCAAACAGCACAAAGCAAAACAGCATGGAGTCTCTATTCTCCCTCTAAATGGATACAATATGAACTCTAACTCTTGTCTTGTTGGTGTTAACATGTGCTGACAGACAGCAGTGATTTGCCAAGGCATCCTGAATGGAATATAAGCATCCATATTTTACTAATTTAAGTCCACTGACAGCGCTGAATTGTTCTGTGTTGAGCTAACACGCCAAGTAAGCTGTTTGCATTCGCTAGTCTGGCAGTGAAACGTCACAGTCTGTGTAGTATTTGTGCCTGAGAATTACGTGCTTGGAGCTTGCACACTCAAACTTTATGAAGTAGGGACAGCTGTATGCCAAATCACACACACAAAAAAACCCCAAACTAACAATCAAAAATCCAGGGAAGCAAAGTGGCTGTGATGCCTCCAAACAAAGCACAGAAGAGTGAGGACCTTCAGCAGGTAATCGCCAGGAAGACGTGGCTGCAGGAAGCTGTGTCCCACCTGCACAGGTCCAGGTGTGGAGCAGCACACAGATCTTCCTTCCATGCCACAATTCCCAGGATGTCATTTCTTTTTCCCAAAAGATGTTTCAGACATGATGGCTGCTTGGCAAACCACTGCTGTTTTCCTCCAAAATTCACTCTGGAACTTGTTGCAGCTGCCTGAACACGCCATGCATTTGCAACACATCCTTCCCACATACATTCCCATGCACTGCAGGCTGTATAACCACGCAGAGCCGGTGTTTTACCGCAAACATCTGCGTGGAACACTGAGTGACAGGCTATGCCTTTCCACCCAGGCTATGTGCAGCCTGATTTTTGGCCGTTTCTGGAATATAACTGACTTCTGCCATCCAGCAGTCTCATCTCACGGGACAGACAGAGCCTCACCAGGGGTACGCACTGTAAGCGGCGGGCAGCCGGCAGCAAGCACGGAAGGCAAAAGCTACAGCCACGCTGCGGATGGCCACCCCGTGAAGCCCTGCGCTCGGGGGGCCGAACGGTGCCTCTGGTGCGCGGCCGAGGGCCGTGACCGCCTCCCAGAGCCGCGGCGGGATCGGCACCCGCGGAGAGATCGGTACCCGAGGAGCGATCGGTACCCGCGGAGCGCTGCGCCCTTCCCGGCAGCACAGCAGCCCCTGGCGGCACCGGGCGCGCTCGGCGTCGGGGACGCACAGGGAGCGGAGGGCTCCGTGTTGCGTTCCGCGCCGCAGCGACGGGAGCGAGACGTCTTAAGAAAGCGTGGCGTTACGGACTGTGCTGCTGCGAGCGAATTTTCTTTATGACCTGAATCGGATGTTTTAATCAATGCAGCCCTGTCAGCCTCGGACGCGACGAAAAATGCTGCAATGTGGTTTTCTAAAAGCCATAAAAACATGCACATAACGAGAGCTGCCGCCACTTCCTCCCTCCCGTCCCCATTTGGACCATCGATATAACGATCTCCGGTTCCCCGACGCCCCGGGAGCACCGTGTGCCAGCAGCTTCTGAGCAAAGCTCTGCGGTCCCATTTCCATGGGGCCCGATGCCCCGAGGTGCCCTCGCCGTGCGTACGTTTTTCCCATCGAGCCAAAGAGACTACAGAAGCGCAACAGCACGGCCAGTCACATTTCCACACATTTTTGCTGTCCGCGTGAAACCAAAGTGGAGCCACGCTGGTTCGTCTGTTTGTTTGTTTCCGACTTTTTCATTTTTTTTTGTTAGTCCGTAACAGTTTCTCACA